ATGTGGAGAAAGGAAGATGAAATAAAGAAAATTCATGTTCAACATCGACCTCAAACACCAACAGCTCTGCTTCACAGACTTGCATGAATGACCCTTCCCACCTTCTCCTTTAAAAGCTCCATGTGTTCTTTTCTTCATATCCCTTTACTCCAGACATTAATTACTAGAAATTAAAGGCTTCATTTCTGAAATGTCATGAGAATATGTTGCATCATGTGAAATTCAGGAAGATGACCCATTCACTGCTAAAATTATGGTCAAAAAGTTACAAACCTTTGCAAAATTGAAAGAAGCCTGTAATGCATCTATTTTGTAATAATTATTAATGTTTACATTTCTTAATCCCACTTATGGCTTGATGTTGCCAAACTGCTCCAGAGACAGCATTAATATGGATGAGAAAAAGAGATTAACATGTAAATGAGTAATGAAAAGCATTTACTAGGAATAGAACTGGCATCCATATGTAATAAAACCTTGCCAAACATTGTCAGTATTAATAGCTTTGTTTACATTTCTACGTGGCCAGACCATGCCGCTGTTTTTTCATGATGGTGAGTTCTGACAATTTTTGTATTAGATTTGGTCCAGGAGCTTGCATTTGCAATTATAACACAAAACAGATTTTGAAGTCCCTGTATTCAGGAAAGAAAGAACCGACACTGCTTTCTGCCAGCTGTTCCAGGACAGCAGCTTGCTGTTGGAGCCTTCCTTTCAGAGCTCCCAGTTTGGGGACACCAAGTTATGCCCATTATCAGAAATTCCTGAAAACTGAGAAATGCTTCCTATTGCTGGCTGCTATTTCCATGCTTTTCCCCAGGATGAGGTTCAGGGGTGGTTCTGTCAGGTTGGGTTCTGGTTTTTCAGCATCCCTGGGTCTTGCAGGGTCAGTGGATTATTCAGAAAAGCCGAGGCCACAAATCCTCACCTTTTAAGTGGTCTAAGTTGATCCCAGGGCTGGAGCCCCTCTGGAGCCAGGCTGGGAGAGCTGGGAGTGTTCACCTGGAAAAGAGAAGGCTCTAGAGAGAGCTCAGAGCCCCTTCCAGAGCCTAAAGGGGCTCCAGGAATCCTGGAGAGGGACTGGGAACAAGGGATGGAGGGACAGGACACAGGGAATGGCTCCCAGTGCCAGAGGGCAGGGTTGGATGGGACCTTGGGAATGAGGAATTGTTCCCTGGCAGGGTGGGCAGGGCTGGGATGGAATTGCCAGAGCAGCTGGGGCTGCCCCTGGATCCCTGGCAGTGCCCAAGGCCAGGTTGGACACTGGGGCTGGAGCAGCCTGGGACATGGGAGGTGTCCCTGCCATGGCAGGGGTGGAATGGGATGATCCTTCCCTACCCAAACCATTATTGGATTCTCTGGTTTAAGATCACTGAGACAAAGAACAGGCTGAAGAGGACCTGAGGCTGATCCCAGCATGGGCCACGTTTTTTAGTTGTGCTGACTCCTCAATATCTTGCAAAGGCTTCATGGCCAGGGCATCTTTTGTCACCCAGGGAGGGGAGATCCCTGTCCTGCTGTCTTTCCAGAGAGGCCACCAAGACCAGGGAGGGTGAATGCCAGAGGATGTTGTGGAGCACACATTAATGAACCTCCACACAGAGCCCGACCCACAGCACACAAAGCTGGCAGGAGCTCAGTGATTCCTGCAGAGCCTTCCCAGCCCTGTCAGCCAGCACTAACTGATAACCAGCAGGATGGAGTGCAGATGAGTGCTATTAAACCACAGCTAAACTCAGCCTCAGCTTGCTTTCTCCATTAATTTTCCTCTGAAACATGAAGTTTAAGTCTGTCTCTTGGGCTCATTTATGTTTGTCTTGTTTTGTATTCATAGTTGTGGATATTCACACAGCCCTAGGTAATTGGGTTTGTATTTTCAGCATTTACAATGCTCATCAGGAAGTTTAAATGTTTGCACTTTCCCTCTTCAGGCAGCATAATGGACACCCATAGTACAAGCAGTGTTTGTTGTCATTAGTAATGCCAATAAATAGAAAACCCTTTTTTTCTTGTTGTTATTTACACTTTTACTTACCTTAAATATCCATAAATTAACTTACATGAGGTGGAGTCATTTTTAATAGGAACTTGAAAAATTTGCTTTGTGTCACTTTGGTGGAGGAGGATGAGAAATAAATGTAGTGCTTGATGCCTGTTTTAAAAAGATCCATGAGTAAATTGTTTGTGGGGTTAAATAATGTTTTATTTGCAGTCTGTATCAGTTTTTTCCTGTATATACTTTAGTAGTGTATTTACTGGAGCTAACTCTTTCAAAATTAACATTTTGCTTTGTGTTTTTCATCTCATGGATTGGGGCAGAAAAGAGGGAACTGTGCATTCAGTAGTGCCAGGCACGGGATGCACTGTGATCATCTGGCCAGGTTGTGTTTGTGCACACATGTATATTTAATTTTGGGGAGTTATTTAATGAAAAAAATCTCATGGACTGCTGAGAAAGAACTCTGTATTTTCCTTCCAGTGTAATATCTTCTTTCTTTAGTTCTTGTTACATGAATCCTGCTACTTTATTATCCAAGCACATCAAGTTCCCTGCTGTCTCTCAGTGGAGCCAGGGAAGAATCCTTGGGGAGCAAGGGACCAGTGGCCATCTCCCCCCACACCTCCTTGGTCTGCAGGTTTTCTCAGGAAAGGCTCTTCAGAAAAGCTTCAGACCACCAACAGCAAAGGTTTCTGGCATGAGAGGCATGACAAAAAGGGGAGGTGTTATTCTGGCATCCTTTTTGTCTCACAGAACCAAAAAGGCTGAGGTAGCTGGTTGCACATTGGTGGGAGAGAAGGAAGGATGGTAACTGAGAAGTCACTGGTGGCAGCCTAGTGGTGATCTTTGCACCCAGGTGACATCTGAAAATCAGCAGTAAAAAGGGGCAGATCACTGCCTGAACTCTGTGTTAGTGTCAGTAATTCAATCATGAGTCCCACGGTGCTTGAAGAGCCTGAGATCTCACTCCCCAAGCCCTGGGATTGAGTGGTGATCTCGGTTTTCACAGGCAGTAAGAAGCTGGAAGTGATGTCCTCACCTTTGTAACTGCAAAGCAAACTATGAATATTAGCAGAGTGCCCCCCAAGGGCTCACAAACCAGGTGGATAAAAAGGAGGAATTTAGAATCACAGAAGAGAAACCCACAAGGATGAAGTCCAGCTCTTCCCCCTGCTTTGAACACCTACAAGGGTCACACCACAGGTCTTCAAATGAGCAAACACTGATTTTTAGGGCAGCATGTGACTGCTGGAGCTCAGCAGATCCCTCTTCCAGCAGCCAGGGAGGGTGGGAGCCTGCAGACAACCACCCACCCTCCCAGAGCTGGGGAACTCCCATCCCTTTTCTCCCTCCCTTCTCCTCTGCCGACAGGACCACGCGTTTCTGGCCGTCAGCAGCAGATCTGGCAGGAGCACAGCCCACCCACGCTGAGCTCCCTGCCCCGAGCCTGGCTCAGGATTCCCCCACTCCCTGATCCTTGGCCCCACACTCGCAGCCATGGCCAGCTGGCCCAGCCTCCCCCTCAGCTTCCATCAGCCCCTGGGCTCACACGGAGCCTCCTGGCTGGCCCAGGGCTGGGGGTTGTCCCCACAGTGGCAGGGAGGAGGTGCTGGGCTGCACCTCTGCTCCATTCCGTGCCACGGGGCCACCGTGGCAGGGTGGGGACACACAGTGGGCTGCTGTCCTTTCACAGAGCCACCGAGGCTGGAAAAGCCCTCCCAGCCCAAAGAGCCCAAGATGTGCCCAGTGCCCACCTTGTCACTGAGTGCCACATCCAGGTGCTCCTTGGACACCTCCATGGATGGGGACTCCAACACCTCCCTGGGCAGCCCCTTCCATTGCTTGAATTTGCACCCTCATGCACCTTGTCCACCCAAAATGACCCCTGGAGAAGGTGGATTTGCTCAGAATTCTGCTTTTGGAGGGTGCCCTGAGCCTGTGCACTGCTGGAGGAAGGCAGGAGTGTGGCAGCCTCATGGTTGGGGAACCTCATCTCAGGTGGGATGTGTCCCTTCAGGAGTTTCAGCCCTTCCCACACTTCCTGATGAATGTGGTAGCTACAAGCACTGCCTCACTCACAAGATTCAACTCCAGATAGCTCAGGGAAGGAATTGGCGCTGGCAGGAATGCTTGGCAGTGAGGATAGAGGGTCACTGTCCCTCCCTCTGGTGTCTGTCTGGCCTCCAGACAGACATGATGGCACTGAGGGACCTGATGGGCCCTGCTGCCCTCAACCATAACCCCAGTGCTGCCATGAAAAGGGTGGGAAGAGCTCCAGAGTGGGGTTTCCACCAGGAAGAGTTGCCATGAGAGGCAGGGAAGTGGCTGGTGGGCATGATGTCCCTGGACTAGAGGTTGTGCCCAGATTTCCTGGTCCCGCAGGGACTTGGCTGGGTGCCTGGGGAAGGAAAGGAGGATCGCAGCGGGTCAGCAGGGCCTGGCTTTTGGTCGCTTCTCTCAATTTTTGCTGCACTCAGCAGATCTCACCCACTGCATGTCTACTGAGACCCCACAGACCTGGGCTGTGCTGCCCACCCTCTCCTCTGTTCCCAGTTTTTGGTAGTTCGTGTTTCTGCTCAGCTGCTCTGGGAGGGTCTCCCAGGGAGAGGTTCCCCTGTCCTCTTGTCATTTGCTGGCAACATCTGTCCCCATGGATCTTCACCTTCAGTGACAACAGTGATGTGCCTAAAAACAAACAGAACAGAACAGAATCATTAGGTTGAGAGAGACCTTTAAGATCATCGAGTCCAGTCCAGCCCCAACACCTCAACTCAACCCTGGCACCCAGTGCCGCATCCAGGCTTTGTTAAACACACCCAGGGATGGTGACTGCACCACCTGCCATTCCAGTACTTTACCACTCCTTCTGTAAAAAACGTTTTCCTGACATCCAGCCTAATTTTTCCTTGATGCATGAGGCTGTTCACCTCCCTGTGAGATGGACAAGCCCTGTGATGTGTGCCCTGAGGCCTGGCTGCCCTGACCTTTCTCTGCTTTGCAGGAAGCGTTATCGGTGGTGAGCGAAGACCAGTCCCTGTTCGAGTGTGCCTACGGATCACCCCACCTCACCAAGACAGAGATGACGGCCTCCTCCTCCAGTGAATATGGGCAGACATCCAAGATGAGCCCCCGTGTCCCCCAGCAGGACTGGTTGTCACAGCCCCCGGCCAGAGTCACCATCAAGATGGAGTGTAACCCCAACCAGGTTAACGGGTCAAGGTAATGAGGCTGGGGGTGGCTCAAGAACAGGGATTTTTGTGATGGGCGTGGCTCAGTTGTCTAAATCTGTGTATTTAGCACCATTTTAGGTGTCTCAGGATATCCCATCTGGCCATTCCTGCCATCCCTGGAGGCTCCAGGTTGCCCTGCCTTGACCTGCCAGCCATGTTCAGGTGTTACAGAGGGTCTAAAATGGTGCTACAGGCACAGACCTCTCGTGAGCTTGTGCAATAGCTTTCCTCTGGCTGCAGATAATTTTTGGATGTGAATTTGCTTTGCACACCAGGTGAAAGAGCACATATTAAACTTAATAAAACAGGGATTTGCTGTAACCTGGAGCAGCACCATTGATCCATCAGGGGGTGTGGTGTGTGTGATCTAACACTCCATGGAAGTTGGCAAATCCAGCAATTTGGGCAGTTGTCTTTGCTCCAAAGATAACCAAACAGGGAAACACTGGAAGTAGAATCTTGTCATGGCAGAGGGAGTGAACTATTGATCTTTCCTTTTGTAGTTACTGTAAACATAATGCCAAAAAGTGGAGCTGGATTTAAGAACTCATGCTGAAAAAACAACATAAATATGGAGGCAGGCAGGGGAGTAGAAAGGAACAGAAAAATAAGTAACTCAACAGGCTGTAGCCACAGAGTGTCTGTGTATTGACTGTTGTCTCAGGACATTTTTTGGGGAATGTCACTATAAAGCAGACTTGTATCAATTAGTCTGCAAAGATACTGCAGTAGATTTTTGGATATTGACTGGTGCCTTACTCAAGCTTAGGAGCACCCTGTGGGACATCTGAAAAAACACAATGAAGATTTTTTTTTTTTAAGGAAGCTATCCAAACAAGTGCTTTCCTGTTTAAAATGTCTGACTGTCAAAACAATTTTCCTTTGGTGTTGCTGAAGGGCAAAGGTCCAGAAGAGTCAGTTGCTGACAATTGTTGGTGATGTACCAGTGGAGCTTGTGCTTCACATCTCCCTGTCACAACCACCTGTGTTTTAATCTCAGGGTCAGTTGTTCAGGAAAACCTCAGCCCTGGGCTCTGTGGTTGCTGTTCACACTTGCTGTGCTGGTGTGATGAGCACCACAACCAGGGCAAAGTGGTCTGCCAGCTTATCACACCCCCTCTGTTCTGTGGTGGGGATGGAAGTTGTGCTGAAGTCAAATCAGGATTTCCAGTGAGCAGTCAAAGATTTGAGATACGTAGAAATAAATGGTGAGCTGAAGTTACCAAGAATTAGAGGAAGTTTTCTTGTAAGGCTGCTTATTCAGAAGTTCAGGTGTCTTTAATCTATTCCAGTGTCTTCTTTTATTTTTTTTTTCCTAAGCAAGTGCACAGGTATAATCATAAATGGTGTATTGATTCAAAATCAGTCTTAGCTGCTTCCTAAAATTGCCTCTGACTTATTTGTGCTGGCATTTCTGTAAGAGAACTGATCACAGTTTCCCTCAGTGTAAACTGCATAAAGTGCACTAGAGTAGATAATCAGAGTTAATTGTTGCTGAGAGGTTTAGGTTGGATTTTAGGGAAGGTTCTTCCCCCAGAGGTGCTGGCACTGCCCAGGCTCCCCAGGGAATGGGCACAGCCCCGAGGCTGCCAGAGCTCCAGGAGCCTTTGGCCAGGGATGCCCAGGGTGGGATTTTGGGAGCTCTGAGCAGGGTCAGGGGTGGCACTGGATGATCCCTCTGGATCCCTTCCAACTTAGTATATTCCATGATTCTATATTTTCACCTAGTTTTTGCTATTTTCTATTAGTATGTGCACGCACTGAAGCACTCAGGGTGATGCTGTGGCTCCCTGCACAGTCAATACCAAGAGGTGGCTGCAGTTTCAGCTGCCAAAATTCCCTTTTGTGGATAGAGGTGCCTGCATTTCCTTCAGAGCTGTCTGCCCTATCCCCATGAAATGCTTGTGCTTGTGGGGAGGGACCTTTCATCAGGAACTGGAGGGACAGGACACAGGGAATGGCTCCCAGTGCCAGAGGGCAGGGCTGGATGGGATCTTGGGAAGGAGGAATTGTTCCCTGGCAGGGTGAGCAGGGCTGGGATGGAATTGCCAGAGCAGCTGTGGCTGCCCCTGGATCCCTGGCAGTGCCCAAGGCCAGGTTGGGCACTGGGCTGGAGCAGCCTGGCACAGTGGAAGGAGTTTTTTTATTAATCCTGAGGTTTTTTACAGCCTTCCCTATTGAAAGATCAGTGCAAAGTTCCTAGATGGAGATAGCAAGGAAAATTTATACTTCAATACATTACCTAAGGCATGACTAGCTGAAAAAGGGAAAAAAAACAACAAAAAAAATCACAAGCTACAAAAAAAAAAATTAGCAGAAGGGCAAAAAAAAAAATTGCATGCTCATACTATACACAAAAATAATTTAAAAAAATATTGTCATTAAAAAACACAGTTTATTTAATCAGAGAAGTTTTATTTTTTAGGGCCTCCTTACTCAGGCCTGAGAAAATAGATCTTAATACTACACTTTTAATGGAGAACCAATGCTGCCAACCAACAAAAATAAATATGTTGTGGCATTTCTAAATCTCACATACATGTATGAAATATGTCGTGTTATTGCACCCTGGGAATTGAAATGGGGTATTCCTGCCAATTTTAGGGAAAACAAAGTGTTTATCAGACTGTGTTACCCTGCCTTTCTTAGTTACTTTGCATTTTCTTTTCTGTAGAAGCCTTCCCCACTCTCTTCTTTTGCAATCCATAAACTTGTTTCCTTAAATGACATTATTAAATGATAATATTTCCTCACTTCTTAATATGCTTTGTATGTTCAGTATTGCCACAAGCAGTTCCTGGAGTCCTTGGAGTTACATTTCATTTTTTATTAAAACTGTACCTGCTCTGTTTAGACCCATTCTAAAATCTGAGTTTTCCCAGAGGAGTCTAAAATACAACCCCACATTGCAAAGCCATGCAAGTGCTGCCCTGAGGATCTCCAGGTATCCTCTGTCCTCTCACGTGGGCAGCTGGATCTGAATAATTCAGGATGCAAAGCAGGGAATGAGATCCCACAAAGTGGTGGCCAGGGAGAAGTTAACACATTGCAGTTTTTTGCTGCCCAGCTCTCCCTGTGTCAGAGCTTCCTGGCCATATATTTTGTGCTTTGGAGGAGGGTTTAAAATTTTGGGAGCATATTGAACCCCTCAGACATCCCCAGTAAAGCACCCACTCAGAGAAGGGATGTGCCCCCTCTGCTAGGACCTTCCCCAGACATACTTTGGCTGTAATTGCCCTACATTAAATTAGTTAATGTAAAAGTTAACAGTCTCAGAGCTGGCATTCCTGTGAATACCAGAGAAATGCCATTAGAATGAAATTAAAGGGTTATTTTCAGTGTGCTGCACAGAGATTAGCTACCCACTTTTCTTTAACAATAACAGTATTTTTCAAGATAAACCCTGCAGCCCAGCACCACAAAATACAGTCTGGGGGCTTGCCTTAAATTAAATAAAGCAAGAAAAGTTTAAATTAAAGCTGTCGTTTACCTGGCTGTTGTTGCATATAGAATACAGGTTGTCACAGGTGGTATCAAATTGAGTTTCTCTAAGTACATTAATTCTGTTCCTTCCAGGTACATAAATCTAATGAGACCTTTTGTGCTACACTGCAGTCAATTTTTCACCTGAATGTAACATTCCTGTTTGCTGCTATTTATTGCTCCTGGGTCAGGAAAAAGATTCACCCTGTAGTATAAATCTGAAGGTTGCATATGCCACACTGGTGCTTTGCTGTTTATTGTTCTTTATGTATTCCATCAAATTAGGCATGAGCAATCCTACCACAATGAGTGCAATTCATGTCATGCATTTAGGGAGAAATTCACTCTGTGGAAGTGCTCTCATGAGGCTCTGGGTACTGCTTAAACAACATTTATAAATCCATGGATTTCCCAGTGGTCTTGGAGCACACTCACCCACCGGGCTTTGCCGTGCCCATGGGTGGGGCTACACAAAGGTAGCTTGGAATAATGACATTTACTGTAGGTAATCCATCTTTTTCAGGCAGGCTGAAGTGGAACACAGAGTCTTATTCAGACCACAGATAAATTTCTCTTGCCATGAGCAGCGTGATGATTTCATTGAAGAAGTATTTTGAAAGTTAACTGCAGTGAAAGCACAGCAGAAGCTTTCCAACATCAGCTTGGCTGATAGAGAAGTTTTAAAGAAATGCCAGAAATAATTAGTTGTCCTTAGGATTTAATCATGTGCAAAATGTTGATTTAAGTGCTACCAGTTGTTGCTTGAAAACCATTTGAGAATGAAATTATCACTTAATACATCTTTTGTGCTGGCTCTTTTGGGAAACACCATTTTTCTTTGCATGTAGCTGCCTGAATTTTCATCAAAGAGCCTCTGTACTTTCCAGGTTCAGAATGTCTGACACACTGGAGGACTTTTCAGAGTCCAGGGTGAACTTGAGTTTCTTTGCTGGTGTTTTTTTTTTCTCTTTCCCTTGATGTAAAGTCTCCTAAGGAGTAGATTCTTTGTGCTATACAAGCCAGCAAATTGGAATGGGGAGCCCTTGAGGTACCTTGTACTGTCAAGATGTGTGACAGCTGCTGTGCCCAGGCACTGGGGAGGGAGAATTCATCCGTGTGGAGCTCTGTATTCCCACAGATCCATCCTGCTCCCAGGATCCAGGCTGGCAGGCTTTAAGCTGTAGGAGGCATCTCTGCATCATGGTGTGATACTGGTGGATCTAATTAGAGCATTTAAGCAGCTCCACGCAATCACTGAATCATTGAATTGTGGAATTGTTGGGGTTGGAAGTATCTCTGGAGAGCATCCCTTTCGCCAAGGCAAGGTCACCTTGAGGAGGAGACACAGGAACACATCCAGGTGTGTTTGGAATGTCCCTATAGAGAGAGACTCCTTGTTCTCCCTGGGAAGCAGTTCCAGTGCTCTGCCACCCACAAAATAAAGAAATTCTTCCCCCCGTTGAGGTGGAACTTCTTGTGGTTCCGTTTACGGCTGTTGCTGCTCAT